CAAACATTGAAGATACAGTCTTCTTGGCTGTCACATCTTTTGTGAAACTTCTCCTTTCATGAGCATTTAATGCGCTGAAGTATTGGATGATCATTGAGAAATTGTGTTGCAAATACGCCATTTAGAATAATTCCTACTTGGAATGCCACCAGTGCCGGCAACTTTGTCAGAAATACCCGTCAAAAGGCCTGCGGGCTTTTTTAAGGTCGCGTGCTGTCGTAATGACGGTGTCCAGCACGTCTGACACACGACAGCGCTTTGGCATGTGCGCACCTAAATGCCCTGCGGCACACGCTGGGGAACCTGAACGCGGAACGTAGCAAAATCTAAAAGAATATCAACATGCATCATCTATCAAATACAGCATTTACATTTTGACGCGTATAACCTGACATGTGGCGTAGGGTGTACTGGCCTGTGCTCAGCTACGCAACATTTCTGCAGCAAGCCTCGTGTGCATATTGCTTAAGAACAGCCACTTCCCCTGGTGAGGGACAGATGAAGTCTTAGCGAGATATCCGGCCACTCATTTTCTCGACCAATGTTGTTGACCAATACGGCGTTGCAAAAATTGGATAGCATAGATGAGGGGATTTACAGCACCATGACATTGCTGGAATATTGTCAGATACAGTTGCATTATTTGCTGATCAAACAAAACAAGTCAATTTCACAGCCACCTATTTGCGTCATTCTTAGCTTTCAAACGTGTCTGGCTATTGTCCACGAGCGGAAGATTTCAGAAAAGTAGACGCGCTGGAACTTCCAGAACGTATATTTCTCTACGACAGAATACGAGGGCTGCGTGCGTTGGCTGGGTCTAAAAAACGGCAGATTAAGCAGACACACTCGTTCTCCGAAACGGCTCGTCCGATCGCCTTGAAACTTTCACCAATCGATAAGGTACAATAAGGTGAGTCATGGTGTGAGAATGTCGAGATCTGACCTGGGGTCAAGTACCTCAAAAACTTGAAGGGAAAATTTAGCGTGCGAAAGCAGACAACTCAAACCTCAAAACCCACTTGACGGATCGCTGCGTTACCTTCCTCACCAGATGTGCCATACATGATAACCTCTTGCAGTAGAAAGGTAGGCCACCCTAGAACAGGTTACAATTATCAAATTTCACAGATTCCAACATTCCTGTTTGCAGACAACTCGGCCCTCAGAACCTACCGAACCGATCGCTGTGACACCATCATCATTGGATACGCCATACGCGATCGCCCCTGGCAGAACAAAAAATGGTGACACGAGATCAGGTTAAGCCAGCAAATTTTACAAATTCCGAACTTCTTTCTTGAGGAAAAGTCAGTTACCAGAACCTACCCCGATTGCTGGGAAACCTTGCCATTCGATACGCCGTACCTGATTCCCTGCTGGAGTTACGAATGTGGTGTCAGTTACAATAACGCCTTTTCCTTTTCATATTTAATCCCAAGAAAACATGCATTTGGGTTAGCCTGGTCTTTCTCAAGCCTGCGAATTACTGCGGTTTTGGGTAGGCGACGCTGCGACGTCATCATGGGACTAAGTCATATGACACCAGCGTTACAGCGGCGTTAAGACGCTGTTCTCTGCTGCCCGGTCTAGCTATAAATATTTCCAGAATTAGGATCTTTTCAACCTGGCGCATTCAATAAAGCATTTGCAGCAGGGCAATGGCGTTGGCTTGCACCAGAGCTACAAATCATTGCTGAAATGCGGCTCCTACCGACGGAAAGATCGGACAATCTATTTATCAGTGCCTTTTTCCAAAGAACTCTAGCCGGAAGTACTTAGAAATAGTCTGTGCGAGAGAGTACAGGATACAACAACAGCATGGGGTGGAGATGAGAAACGGCGGCCCAGACGGGCTTGCAGTATCCTAGCACGCGCATTGAGAAGTTGGAATGCACATTCTGCAGCCTTAGGAGGGGCGTTGCCCGGGTGGATGCAGGGTTGGCTTGCCCTAATTGGGGCAGTGAGGGGTGAACCCCGCGAGGCGTAAATGCAGAACGTGCCATTTCAGTTAAAGATAGCAGATTTTTCTGTAAAATGGGACAGTTTTTGTCAGTCAAAGAGTGGTGGCCTATATATCAGGCGGGAAATAGTCATGGAGATATACAAGGGTAGTTTGAGGAACCATTCCCTGCGTATATTGTTCACCTATCCCATCCGAATTTATGGATCTGCATGTTAACCAACGACTGGTAAGATCATAGCAAAGTGACAGCGAAATCTTTGGCCCCTGCCCTACTCATATAAACTTTTTTTAAATTTCACTCCATATAGGTACTGCAGTACAACGATAAAAGGACAATCATTGCCATTGATAAATTTGATGTTACCATTACACATGATATCTATTTATGTACTATCTATTAAATTTGATATATAATTCGATATAATCTAAGCTGTTATCATCTAAATGTTTGATATCAATATTTGACATCTAAATATTTATTTCACAAGAAGGCATTGTATATAAATGTTCAGGCTCGTTGACTACGGCGAAAATGGAGCGGGTACTGAACCTAGAAAACGTTGTTTAAAAGAACGTATTTTTGGAAGCAGGTCGTGGTGTCGACTCGTTTTTAGGTGGTCTTAAATACAAAATGTGTGATATCTATTCACATAGCATTTAACTAAAGGTGTAGAACAGGATTGCCAGCCAGTTCATTGACAAATTCTCCGTGCGTTATGATGTTGCTAGTATCCACCACCCTTCGTGTAGTATCAGCCAAAAACCATACTACGAGCTACCAAACATGATTCCCATGGTGATATCACATCTGCGTAGCATTTTTTTTTTTGTAGCTCTGTTCTTGCTAGGCCAGTGTTGCCATTTGTTATTTAAATTTTTCCACCTACCAGATCAAACCTGTTGGCCTCGAATCATGACTCGAATGCATGACACCGATCGACACCAGACCTTCCCCATTCCACGCCGCTTAGCCGATAACGCCTTGTGTCCAGAGAATGGTGTCCTTATGTCAGGTCAGAAGTTCCCCCAAAAACCAAAAGATGCAGAAATAAAGTTACAGACAACGAATGTTCCGAGCCTTTGGAACTGATCAGCATAAAACCTTCACCAATCGATGTGAAAAAGGCAACATCCTATTATTCTCTGAGCATGGTGGCCTGGTGTCAGGTCAAAGGTCACCGAAAACACGCAAAACCACCAATATTGGCTGCAGACAACAACATGCTCCGAGCCTATTGGATCGATCGGCACAAAACCTTTACCAATCGATGCATCCTTGTTAATATCCTATCTTTTCCAGAACATGGTGACTTTGGGCCAGGCCAAATACCCCAAAACGTTTCTAAATAGCCTCTGGTCGTATTTGCGTTTTTTGGTGACCTTTGATCTGGATCCAAAGTTACTACATTCTGGATAGATAGGCTTTCGACCAAGCAGTAGCGAATGGCGAATTTTGGTGTCGATCACTGTCATAGGCTGGGAGCATGGGGCTGTCAACGGGTTTGGCTGGTCTTTTGGTCCCTCCCTTAACACGCGCTCCGGGGGGGGGATTTACCCCGCAAAGGTTTTTTGCAGAATATTTTCCGAACGGCGTGGCGTAGCCGCGCCAAATTTTGCATAGCTGTAGACGACTGAATAACAGACTGTTTGACGTGAAACAATTAAGGCGTACCTTGTAAGGTCGCTGATCTATGGCAGGTCAAAGTCAGACCACGGTTTCAGCGAAGACAATTTCTGGGGAATGGTCCAATTTGATACAATAACGGAGTGTTTGACGTAGCTATACATATCTGAGATGCTTTCTAGGCACCACAAATATTGAATGAGCAAATTGCGTTGACCTAAGTTCATGTACGAAGGTCAGACCAAGGTCAAAACCAACCTGATTTATTATTCTAGAGCTTGCCACATGGGATAGTTCGTGGTGCTCGTTTCGAATTTATTGACAGCAGAAACCGCATTATACAGCTTTCATTCGCTTTTAAGACGTCAGAACAGGTTATTAACCTGAGATGACCCGGGTCGACATTTTGTTTTATGAACATACTGCCTAGCGTAATCTTTGTCATTTATTCGAATACAAACTTCGGAGCAGTCTTGTATAATTTTGGCCACAAGGACCTTCAGAAGGTCAAACAAGTTCACTGATCTAAAATGAGCTTGCGAACTTTTGCTTAGAAACAGTTGCCTAGATTCTGAGAGCACTTTGGAGATCAACCTGGACTTTGACCTCGTTTGACCTTATTTGACTTGAAGGTCATTACCTAGCAAGCTCAAGCTTTGGCCTAAGTGATTTACGTACAGGGCAAAACACCTTGTAAATTTGGCGTCTTAAGCTCTCTTAGTTCCCGAGATCTCGTTGGGGATCAAATTGACCGCCCCCCCCCCACCCCTCCCCACCCGAGCGGAGAGTATCTAGCCGGTCACCCGGGCACGTGTTGAAAGAACCGTGGCCATGGTCAACGTGGTGGTGCACGCATGGTCGATGTGCGTGATGTGCGAGTACCGTTCTGTCGTGATTATGAGCATGCCTCGTCCACAGCCTTTCATTGGTTGCTGGCTTCACCTTGCGAGAAGTCCGCCGAATCGAACCGAGCCTGGGCCACGGCTGTGACGGATTCCGTAGATTTGACGTGCCTGGCTGTGAGAGCAGGCTCCCAGGGCCTGACCGAAACGGACCGGTTTGGTCATAGTCCTGTTTTGACACATCCATAACCTAAGAATCTTTTTGGGGGCATGTTTTCTGCACAGATTGCAAAAAGCAAGACACATTGACACCCTGACACGTGACACATTGGCATACAAAACATGCTTACACATAGACACTGCACACACATTGACCACTCTGCGCTTGTCACCAAGGCACAAGTCTAAAAAGCAAACGATGACAAATTTAACGGAAAAGACGTTACTTCTTTGTTCAAGAGGAGCTTTGAGCTCCGCCGTGCGTGTTTGTGCACCGCTGTGTCAACGCATAATTCGACGATTACGACTGTCTCAGATGCGCCGAATTAAATATATTTTATACCGTGAACTTTATAAGTCTTTGATCACTCAAAATAAAGGCGTTTTCCTTGCATTTACGCACAAAATATGTAGGAATGTTTGTGCTGTATTGTGCATGGCCTCAAAAATGCCCCTGAACCACGACAAGAAAAAGGGCACCACAAAAAGATGATAACAGCGTATGTGTTGCAGCATGTGTCGCAGCTGCCAAGTAAGTCTCATGCTTGCTCCATCCTATGTCCGATCATTTCTCTATGATCGGAGCAATAAGTTCTGATTGAGTTGTCTGCGGGTAAGAATTATGGAATTTGTGAAATCAGATGACTTTGATGACCTTACCTAGGGTCACCAGATTCTCAACATGAAGTTGGAATCAGGTATGGCATCCTATGGTGAAGATTTCGCAGCGATCGGTTCGGTAGGCTTTGAGCGCTGAGTTTTCTGCATGCAAGACCGTTGGAAATTGTGGAATTTGACAACTTTTGACTTGGCCTAGGGCCACCAAATTTTCAAATGCAATACTATGCATCTAATGGGAAAGGCTGCACAGTGATCGCTGCAGTAGGGTTCTGAGATATGGGTTGTCTGCTTATGCATGGGAAGTTTTCCTTCCCGTTTTTGAGGTGTTTAACCCTGAGTCAGGCTTCCATATGCCCTCCATGAGCAACCAAATTGCATGGAATCGATTGGTGAACGTTTCAAGATGTTCGGACAAGCTGTTTCGAAGAACGAGCGAGTCTGCTTCAAATGTCGTCTTTTGGCATCCTGTTTTGAGCGTTGGTTGGGGTGAAAGCTAGCCCGACGACTGCCACGCATTTTGATACATTTGCAGACTTTGTCGTAGAAGCTACATCGTGCAGCTTCACTTGCTGCTACAGTTCCTACACTGCATCGTACTGCTCAGCGATGCTACTGTCTAACGCTGTTGTCCGCTGTTACACGCGTAACACATCCGTGGCCTTCACCCAGCCGCTCTAATGCCACTGTTTATTGTCGCATGGACGGCGATGGGGAGGGCGTGCAGCGTGACAGCATGACGCCATCAATCACGGACTGCCGCAGCGCGCAGAAGGGCATCGTTCTTCATTGTTCTCGTTGACGCTGATGTTCTCGTCGTCATGTCCGACCGCTCTCAACGACAGCTGGGCTGATTCGAGCCAAGTGGATGCGGGCCCAGGGACACACTTAACCACGCTAGGTTGACGCGTTTCAAGCGTAGTTTGTACTGACTGGACCTCAGAGCGATTGTGCTGAGCCCAGATTAGCGTAGGCTGCTGGCGACAACTGCAGCTGCAACAGACTCCCTTCCGAGCGCTGACATCCATGCTGTTTTGGTGAGCTGTTCAGGTGCGTTTCTGACGACCAAACGCAGGCGATGAGCTCAGTCAGATCCCCGGCGAAGGCCCGCACCAGCTTGGTGCGCCACCATTGCCACGGACCGCAGATCGCTCCTGTCGGTTGCCATGACGATCGTACGTAGTGGGCGTAAGGGCCGAGTTGGCTGTTGCCTGCGGCTACCACGCGGGTGCTCGGATTCGAGCCCGGTGCACCAGGTTCTCTGAGCGCCGGTATGGTACCGACTCCACCTGTTTGTTGATTTCGAAGAAGCTTTCTCCTTACTTCAGACCGTAGTTCCAAGCTTTGACAAATTTAAAACGCCTAAACTGGAAACGCTTGCTAGATTGAGCGCTCCCTGGCCTTGCTTAACACGCCCCGGGTGGCCGGCTAGATACCCCTCGCCGGGGGGGGGGGGGGGGGGGAATTTGACCCCGCTGAGATCTCGGGAACTAAGAAAGCTAAAGACGCCAAAATTTACAGGGTGTGTTGACATGTACGTAAACTTACTTAGGTTAAAGTTTCAGGCTCCTAGGTCATGACCTTCGGGTCAGAAAAAGTCAAACAAGTTCAAGTTCCAGGTAAGCCTCCAAAGTGCTCCTATAACCTAGATAACCGTTTCTAAGCAAAAGCCACATTTTCATTCAAGGTCAGTGACCTCGTTTGACTTTTTGAAGGTGAGCAAAATCATGCAAGATTGCTTTGGGTTTTGCATTTGACTAAGCGAAAAAGACAACGCCAGGCAGTATGTTGCTTTAAAAAAATGTTGACCTGGGTTATTTTAGTTCAATGACGTATTATGACCTCCAAAAAGTCCACGGAGGATGTATAATGCGGTTCCCGCTATCAATAAACTCGAAATGAGCACCAGAAACTGTTCCATACAGCAACCCCTAGAGTAACAAAACAGCTTGGTTTTGACCTTGGTGTGACTCTCATACCTGATCTCAGGTCAATGTAATTTGCTCATTCAACTGTTGTGTTGCCTGAGAAAGCATCTCAGCGATGTATGGCTTCGTCTAACATTATGCTGTTGGATCAAATTGAAGGATTCCCTAGAAATTGCCCTCGCTGAAACCATGGCCTGGATTCGACCTGCCATAGGTCAGCGACCTTAGAAGCTACATCTGAGTTTGTGATGCCAAGCGATCCGCTATTCAATTGTGTACAGCTATGCGAAATTTGGCGCGGCTACGCCACGCCGTTCCGAAACCATTCTGGAAAAACCTTTGGGGGGGGGGGGTGGTTTGACTCTTCTCACCCGAGCGCATGTTAATGACGCTGATCTGGCATTCGCAAGGCTTACCATCAACGCTTCTGATTTCCGTATTAAACATACTGATGCCGAGGTGGATAAGCGACGAGCGCCTTTGAAAGACCGAGAGAAAGTTTCCATCCGCATATCTGAATGGCCGAGCCCTATACTGTTGTGAATTCCTATTCTGACCACGTCTAAATTATACATTGCATGTTTTCGCCATCTTCATTAAAACACAAACCCGCAATATGTTATTGTGAGTGCCACATATAAAATCAAATAGGGCATGATTACACAAGGGGAAAGTTTACATAGGTCGTATGCTGTTCATCAATTGAAAACAACGGTATTGCCCGGTTCGTCTTGTCAAATGCTATTAGCTCTCTCTCTGATTGGTCCTTCTCATGGCGCTCACTGAAGGGGGGTCGAGGCGGCCCTTCCCCCTACCAGCCGTTTTCAAATAATAGCGAAGGCTCGCAGCAAAAATCAGTAGATCGGTTCTAAGGTGATCCCTTGCTTGTTAAGGCACGTTATGCTGCCGAGTCATTAACTGGCCGCCCGCTCTAATTACGCCAGCTCCATGGTCAAATATTTACCTGTCGACTGTAAATATATGCAGGTGCTACGTATAAGCACATGAGCGTGCAGCCACGACCCTTTTGATCAAGATGTGGTTGACAGCTCGTGCAACGCATGGCAGAAGTCCTTTTTGAGCATCTGTACCGGCCTTAGCTTCGGGATCCAGCGTTGAGGGTCTTCGTCTCGATGCTGAGCGGTATTGTTTGGATCCAGAGCGCCTGGTGCATCAGCACGGCATCTGCACCGGCTTTAACAGCGGGGATCCGGCGTTGAGGGTCTTCGTCTCGATGCTGAGCGGTATTGTTTGGATCCAGAGCGCCTGGTGCATCAGCACGGCATCTGCACCGGCTTTAGCAGCGGGGATCCGGCGTTGAGGGTCTTCGTCTCGATGCTGAGCGGTATTGTTTGGATCCAGAGCGCCTGGTGCATCAGCACGGCATCTGCACCGGCTTTAGCAGCGGGGATCCGGCGTTGAGGGTCTTCGTCTCGATGCTGAGCGGTATTGTTTGGATCCAGAGCGCCTGGAGCGTCAGCACGCCCGGGGGAACCGTCTGCTTGGAATGTAAATGGGTCTTTTGATGCGTTTTGAAATGCGTTTGAATAGGATTGTAATGTTGGCAAGTTGTTTATAACAGGTGTGGCCGCCGTTGTAGGGCGACATCGCTTCAGTGGTGGATGGCGCACGACATAAAGGGCGCTGTTCGTGGTGCGAGATGGTGGCGAGAGATGGCGCTCGTGATGGCGTTCCTGGTGCCGCGGGGCGTTTGAAGGTGAGCGGCTCTTGTGGCGCCTTTCAGAATGTGTTTAGACCACGATGTGCCAACGATGCGTCCGTAAAGAGTGGGTAACTGTATTGACTTAAAATGTAATTTTATTATTTTCTCAGGTCATCATATGTACTGGCCACCATTTCATGTCATACGTATGCTCAGGTTATTACTATTGTTTCACTTTCATTTCAGGTTTTACGTACAGTAAAGCAGCAATATCAAAATGGCGGTTTCGAAGCGGTTAAAATGAGTTGTAGTCATACAATGGCTGTTACAATAAGAGTGGCTTCTGTAAACGGAACGAAGGCAGTATGCATATGGATGCATGTTTACCATTTATCGCCGTTTGCGTTTCCGATGATGATCATGTTAGCTGAGTTGAATAAGCCGTTTTCGTGAAAATAAAGTCGTATTTAGTATCTGGCTGCGTTTTAAATGCCCGCAGTTTTCGACACACTGGTGAGACGATCAACAACTATACGCTCATGTGTTATGGCCCAGCAGGGGCAGTAGAAGTGTCGCCATTAGTAGAAGTGAAGAAGGGGTAGTAGAAGTGAAGAAATTAGTAGAAGTAGAAGTTTGTTCACCGCCTACCGGATTTCTAGAGGCAAAGCTGCCGGCATACACCACGCACGGCCGCCTGCCGGAGAGCGACAAGGGCGCTCCGTGGTAGCACAGGGACACATAAGTCAATTTGTTGAACGTGGCACCGTGCAACGTGAGGAAATGTCGCTCTTTTCTGGTGAGAATAAAGCGTCAGCTGTTAACGCCACTGTTTGCATCTCACTTGAGTGCATACTGGCCTTGACCGGAACAAGCTCCCATTCAAGCGACGCCAGCCGGCACCCTTCGCTGCTGCAGCATTAAGAGAGTCGCGAAGCGCTACATGCGCGTTGGCGGCGCACAATGCTGAACACAGTTGTTGAAGAGTCATGAAGCTACTTGTCTGCTCTCGTATGAGGTGCGGGTATGACTATAGACTGTAACCTAATATGACTCGTGTATGGGATATGACACTTAATGTCTGTACCAGTCTCCACTGAGTCTGCTCAGCAAGTAAACACATGAGGACGGTTACACATTACGACGGTCAACAAAAAACAAGGCAACGTCAGAAACAGGTGGATTGCTGTATAGTTCTGACGTGGTTGCCACTATTTACTATTAAATCATGTGATTTGAACGTGCCCATTCAGATAATACTGACGTTTGTCTGTGCCTTCTGCGACGTTAAGCGCACGGGCGTGTGGAGTACCACGACTTTATTCGAGTCCTGCCAGCATCGGTGGCCGCGCCGACCAGCATGTTGCAGAGCGGGACCAAGCATGAGGGGGAAGGCGGGGGAGGGGGCGGGGAAGAGGCGGCAGACAGGTTACCAGGGATGCCGCTGCTCAAGGACGAGGACATTCTATGAGTGGCATCGGAGGCAGGCATCGCTTCTACGAATACACGCAGCGGCGCTGGGGTGCATATTGTACGCTGGGCGACGACTATCGAACCTTATATACAGTATCTTGTGACAAGCAGAGTAAGTGTCATTGCATAAGCAGGCACTCGGTAGATATCGCGCACGATGGCTGAAGAGGTCGGTAAACACGCCACAGGAGCAGCATGCTATTATTCTATTCGTTGTACTTGTCTCTCGGAATGTTCGTTCCAGATTCAGCCTTTAGAAGTGTCACCGAGCAGTGAGGGAAACAGATTACGGCTGCTTTGGATTACGGTGAGTAATTGGTATATACTGCACAAAGAAATAAATGTTTCCTCACGATTACCTCACGACCTCACTTGTGTGTTCTTGTGGTTATGTGAACTAATGATTCTAGTTTATCTTCCGCCCTGTCGGGAGATGGGCGGAGGGGGAGTTGACTTTTCCCGACGGTTTTTCGAGGACAGGTCAGAAACGAAGGCTCGCGGTATCACGAAGTTTTCAGTACCTGGTCACCTATGAACTTGAAATTCCTTCCAATCCCCATTCCTAACAATTTATTTTGATCTACCCAAACCAGTGACCTAGTTCAGGTCAAAGAGGTCAACTTCTTAACAGCTTTGACCACAGTTCGCATTTTTGTGGATCATTTGTTGTTGTTTAAACTTGCTGTCGTAATAGAAAATGATAGCAACTACTGTTTTGTTTCTAGTTTTTCGGAAAATGCGAGATCAGTAACCGAAAACGTAAAGTCAACATATGATAATGAAAAGTAATAATGTAAAGTCAATTTTGCTACTTTTCATCAATAATGCAAATTCGTAGTCTTTTGTGTGGTTTTGGTGTTTGATTAAGATTAAAAGAGTAGCAACTAATATGAACAACCGTCATATGACCACAGAGCACATGCTCTTGGGCCAGCTCATGACCCATCTCTATGGGTGCCTTTTGCAAAACACATGCCGGGTTCAAAGTAGGCGGTTTGTTGGGTAATTTTGGACGCAGATTAGGACACTCAATGAAGACATGTTGCCACATCATTCCTTTTTCCTACCGTTATCCAAAAACAGGTAGCCAGGAGTGCCCCTCCCTCTAACCCAGCGACGCAATGAACCGTGAGTTAACGTCGTTCTCACGGTGTTAACGTACTCATATACGCGTAGGTACGCGTGCGGTGTTAACGTACGCATTGCAATGCATAATTATGTCACAAAAGATCATGTGAGTACATGCAAAGGTATGTCAGGTCATCCAAAGGTCAATGACCTATGTTCCTCGTAGCGGAAGAGACCAGATGAACGGGACGCGGGACGCGTGCAAACCACCTCCCTTACGGTGTTGGTGAAGCCGATGATGTCTAATTTCGTGTACCAGCGCACCTGTTCTCAGTTTATTACAAATGCATTGCCAAGCGTCAAAGGGACTATGTATAATGTAGACCAAAGCCATGTGACCTTGATTACCTGTAAGTGTACAATACACTATTTCTGACAACAGAAAGACATTGTATCTTTGCAGAAGGGAAAACATTGCATTTTTCGTGACGTCTGGTGGCCTTACAATTGACCTAGGTCGTACACGTGGTATGCATTATTCATGATTTGACGAGACCTCCAAAACGGTATCTTTGCTTTTCGTATACGGTGTCTAGAAATTGGAGATCTGGGTGAGAAGCCAAATTGCTCCCCAGCCATAAACGGGGTGAGTAGGGGGGAGGGTAGGGGAATCCATAAAATAAACTTGGTCAAAAGCGCATCGTGAAGAAAAGTATCGTCTTTGTAGACTACACCTGATCTGACTCGATCCACAGTGGGAGAACAACCATTGTCGGAATGGTCTCTCAGAACCTTAAGGAAATGTTTCACTTTCGAAGACATTGAAGCGGGTATCCGATATGATTAAGCAGGGGGGGCTTGTACCTATTGGTATTGAGGGCCAACTGACGCCTTTAATCTGGAAATCGTTGCACTCGAACGCCAGACATGAAGCCCTCGACACGCATATTTTTGTCGCCCTCGATCGCCGCATAGCTTATGGAATGGCGTTATTATGACGTCATGAATGCCAGAGTGACTTTGAAATACTCTCCCCGAAATACTCTCCTCCATTTTCGCGGGCGAGGAGCTCACAAACTAGAAGGTCTTGGGTCTTAAGGACAAGGTTGTGAGCAGCACCGAAAGGTATTCAGGCTGGCTATTTCAGTTCAAAACCCCATACAGATGTGGAACACCACTTTCAACGCTTATGTCCGTGCTCTCCAGATCCGTCTTGGCGTATCAACATAGGTTTTAACTGCGTCTATCGGATCAAAGTTTTTAACCTTTCATGACCTTTAGCGACCTAACGTTTGACCTACGATCAAAATATTAGCATGTATTTTGCATGATTTGACGGGACGTTCACAACAGTTCCTTGGTTCTTCTTTCACGACTTCTGAAAGTTGGAGATCCCAGGGGGAAGTCAGCTCACCCCGGCCAGGCGCGGTCGTCTCAGACCCCGGTCAGACGCGGTCGT